TCACAGGCTTAGGGACATATTGAGGAAGTTTTTCGGAAGTTTTGAGAATGATTGATCAATTTAGGGCTGGGTACTGGGGGTCCAAACTTCGATCCTTTTTTTCACTCAAACAGATGTCTGCAGAATATGCTATACTGCACTTCAACAGCAAAATATAATACACATGAATGGCTTTGTAGTAATTTACAAAGTCTAGATATTAATAAATCTGCCTTTTCCATAAGTTCAGATGACATGAACAGCGTTAAGGCCCTTTTTAACCCTTTTTCTGCTGAATTGCAATTTTTCCAAAATCCGATAATATTAGCCATAATGTAAAGGAAAATGCTCATGGAATGCTTAGTTTTTAGAGTAGAAGGTTTATTCAACACTCAAAATAAAGCTCTTGATCTGCTTGACGTGAGAATAATACAAATTTAAAACGCTGTTCATGTCATCTGAACTTATGGAAAAGGCAGATTTATTAATATCTAGACTTTGTAAATTACCACAAAGCCATTCATGTGTATTATATTTTGCTGTTGAAGTGCAGTATAGCATATTCTGCAGACATCTGTTTGAGTGAAAAAAAGGATCGAAGTTTGGACCCCCAGTACCCAGCCCTAAATTGATCAATCATTCTCAAAACTTCCGAAAAACTTCCTCAATATGTCCCTAAGCCTGTGAATGGTAGTATTTACCTATTACTTTACCAGATGACCCCTTAGGGGGGCAATCGTGAAAAATGGTCTGGTCCTGGGGGAAAAAGGGTAATGCCTAAACTTTGACCCTTTTTGACCCCTTTGAATTAATTCTTTTCAAATTTGTATTATTCTGTCACGTCAAGCAGATCAAGAGCTTTATTTTGAGTGTTGAATAAACCTTCTACTCTAAAAACTGAGCATTCCATGAGCATTTTCCTTTACATTATGGCTAAAATTATCGGATTTTGGAAAAATTGCAATTCAGCAGAAAAAGGGTTAAAAAGGGCCTTATTTGAAAAAAACTTTGATGGCATCCTACCTAGCCAGGTGCCCCACCCCATGTACTAACTACCTAGGGTGGATGCCATTCTCTACCTCTCAATGATTTTTAAATCCTAATTTCTGGTCCATGCCTCTCTACTATAGACACTGCCATTACAAAACTTGTACTGTGCAACTACAATGTGCAACAAAGTACGACAGGAATCAAAGTAATTATTGCACCGATTGCACAAAGTACTGCACAAGATATCTCATGCAATGAGACATCGGCAGGCGAAAAGTATTTGCTAGGACTTACCGGCTGAGGTCCACTGTAGAGGAATGCCCGTTGTCGTGCCAACAGCAAGCTTCGGCTGAACCGACTCAATAGGCAAATCCTAGATCAGGGAGAAATAAGATTGAGATCTTAAATACAGAATAAATTCATTATAGGATAGATTCACGCTGATGAAAAATACGGAGTCTAGGAGTTAAACAAGTAGTACATGACTCTATACTGTAACACAGAGTAAAGAGAGTTAATTTCGCTAATTGCAAACCCTGCTTATCCCAAACTAGATTCGCCATGCTACAATTTCTCAATGGATTTTGCATCATGATAAGTTTGAAAACCCAAGATCAAAAAATCCTAGAATAATTCACGGACAATTCTCGCTCTTCACCACACATGCCTACGAGTAGGCGTTCTCTAACGAACACATCGTTAGATTCGCTCGCGTAACGCCGTACCTGCACGCCGCTCTCGACCATGCCGATGGATGCTCCCCTCGTCTGCACGCCGTTGCCGGGGGCGACCAGCCTCCCCGGGTTGACGACGGAGGGCTGCTGCAGCATCATGTACTGCTTCCCCGGCAACGCGCCGTGGACGATCGGCCGGGTCAACATGAAGCCAGACTCGGGCGGTCGCGACACAGCGACGGGCCCCTCGGCCACCGCAGAGGGGATGCTGATGATCTGAAAACCGAGCGAGCGTCTCACCGTAGAACCTTATAAACAACGCAGCTGTTGCTCACCATACATTCGCTGGCAACGATTAAACAAATATAGTCTAACTTCTTCTTCTTCTTCATTTCAGCAGGTTTTTTGGACCTTAGTTATATCGTACGTGACAATGGGGGAGCCCTTACTCACCATGTACTCACTGGCAACCATTTCACGAATATATCTTATCATATTATATTACTACTACAACTACAACATTATATAATTATAATTACATAATTATCATTATAACCACTATATTAGTATATAACTAACTATATCATTCTAACCATTTATACATTAGCATTAGATTAGCAATCCAAACCATCAACCTGATCCTATACTGTATATTACACATTAAAAAACTTGACAGTAATCGTAATTCGGTAAATCGACAATAAAAAACATCGCTACGGCTCGCACCTGGGCGACTCCCTTGTCGATGGTGACGTACTGCGTCGCGTTGTTGAGAACGGATGGCACCGCAGCGCCCCCTGGCATCTGACCGCTCACCGACCTCCTCACGTGACCGGACTGCTCGACTGGAGTCATCAGCGTCATCGGCAGCGAGTTCGACGGCATCAGGCGGAACATCGTACCGGAAACGTTCACCACTCCCGCCGCAGCCTGCGTCGCCGCGGCAACCTGCGTTGCCGTCGGCGACTGCATCTGCTCGACGGGCGACGCCAGCACGCCTCCAGCGAGCAGCGGGTAGGGGGCGCCGGTGGGCGGCCGCAGCAGCGGGACATGCAGCAGCGCCCTCGGCTGGGCGGCGGCGACTGGTGGCGCCCCCGCGGGAGCCGTCGTCAGCAGCGGAAAGCGGATGTTGAGCGGAGCGAGAACCTGCGGTTGGCCGATCCTGTTTGTGGAAGCAGCGGCAGTGCCTGCTCTCGAAGCGATCGCCGCCGCAGACGCAGCGTTGGCGGACGCAGACTCGCCACTCGTTGCCGGGTTACGCAAACTCACGCCAGGGGGCGCCACCGACACCGCCGCGCTCGTCGCAACGACGGAGGCGGGCGACAGCACGGCGCCCCCTGGCGAGAGAACGGATGCCGGCGCCGCGTAGTTCATCATCGCGAAACCAGACGGCAGCACGTGCAGCTTGGGCGTCATCGGCATGCCGACCGAGATCTTCGGCTGCTGCGGGAGAACGTGCGGCCCCGTCGGCTGGCCGACCGCGCCAGCGGAGATCGCAGGTGGCGCCCTCTCCGTCGTCGGCCACGAAGCGAACGGCACGTCGGCTCTCACGAGTGTTCCCGGCGCGACGTTGCCGGCGGCAACCGTCCTCGGCATCGTACTCGGGATGAGAAGCGTCATCACCTGATCTCTGCCCGGCAGCAGACCGCCGCCGCTAGATGGCGCCAGCGCAAAACTCGCCGCGGGCGCGCCGCGCTTCTGCGTCTTCGCGCCGCGTGCCGCGGCGCGCCCGCTCCGTCCTCGCGGCGACGACGGCGCACGGAGCGACGGAGTGCGGGTGGCCACGGGGGCGCCGCGGTGCGGGCGCGGGCGGATTTGCGACGGGTTCAGCGTGATGTAGCTTACGGGCATCTGCCGCGTGAGTATCGCTGCCGCCGCCGCTGCCGCCCTGCACCTGGTTCACGGCGAGGAAACGACGATACCCTGCCCTCCTCCTCCTCCTCCTCCTCCTCCTCCTGCTGCTGGACCCACGGGCTGAGCGGCGGTGTGTCTCACAGACTGACTGGCTATGTGTCCCACGGGCTGACCGCCTGTGTGTCTCACAGGCTGTCCCGCTGTCTGCTTTGGTGTCTGGACTACTGTCTGACCAGCTCTTTGTCCCACACTCTGTTTTAGTGTTTGTCCCACTGTCTGTTTTGGTGTCTGTCCCACTGTCTGTTTTGATGGCTGGTTCACTGTCTGCTTTTGTGACTGTCCCGCTGTCCGACCAGTTGTTTGACCGACTGTCCAACTAGCTGTCTGACCTGGTATCTGACCAGGTATCTGCTTTGCAGTCTGACCCACCGTCTTTCCCGGTGCCTGCACCGCTGCCGCCTTCCCCGCTCCCTGTCCCGCTGTCTGCCTCCTCGCCTCGTTGGTAACCACGACAACCCCAGCCAGCTGCGTCGTCATGGGCGGGGTCACCACGGACGCGGTCGACGCGCGGGCTAGGTCGAGCGTGTTGACGATAGAGTTGGGGATTATGATGGGGTTAGGGTGCAGGATGCTGGCGACTGAAGCACTGACCGGCGGCGACTGCATCAGGATCTTACACGCCGGCGGTGAAGTCATCATGACGGTTGGGTTTGCTGCTCCTAGCTTGGCGTCGTTCGGACCTTGCCTGTCCATCCAGAGAGAGAGAGAGAGAGAGAGAGCGAAAAAGAGCAACTTTACAAGTGTTCCAAAACATGTTTTGAAACCACATCGTACTACACAAGTACAACAGAACTTTTATATTCACAAGTACAGCAGATCAGCAACGTTCACGTTGTGATGTGTTTCTGCTACTGGCTCGCATTAACAGGCTTTCTCGGTTATGACCGAGTACGACAATCATGTATAGCAACCGCTTGTTGCTCTATAAAGTCAGCGTAAAGGCCATTACCACATATCGTAATAAAAAGGTCTAGAGATCTGTATTCATTTATTAACGCAAAAGGTACTTAAATTACGCGAGGCAATTTCCCTTATCTCTGAAACATGCAACATCTGGTAAGAAACGCACATTTGATTATTTGACTCTATAACGTTCGTGAAATACAAAGATAAATCTCATAAAATTATGCAATTAATAGTTGCTTATAATATGAGCAGTATTCTTACTTAGTGGCTGCACAACTTGTAGGCTCGACCAGAATTCGTGCAGCTTTCGCTGTGTCAACTTCTTCTTGCTTCACTGCCACCTAAGAGAGGAAACAACATACTTAGCATCACTAAGTAATATAATAATAATACCTTAATTATACATACAACTTAATATTATATTTTATTACATACATACTTATATTATTAGATATTACTTTAATATATAATTATACTACTAATATTATACTTTATTATCATATTATACTTATTATTATTATACATTATATTAATTAGTTAATGCTACAAATATATTATATACATCACGCCGGACACTGCACGCGGTAAGACACGCGCCCCCAGCGAAACACGCTACCTCTGAACGGCCACACGAAGGTTTCTCGTCCGCCCTGCCGCCGGTCACAGCAGTGGCGCCACCTGCCTCCTCCCTCGTCGCGCCAAGCTCGCAGCCGTTCGCTCGCGGATACGCCTTCAGCGCTCCCTTCGTCGGCGGATTCCGCGACGACGACCTCGCAAAGGTCACGGGGAGAGACGAAGCTGAGACGGGAAACGGCGACGTCGTCAGACTGGACGCTGGACGACCGGCGATGCCGGCGCCCCCTTGTGGCGGCGCGCACAGCTCTGCGCCGAGACTCGCCGTTTGCTTGATGAGACCGGAGAGCGGCGAGACACCACACGGTGGCGCCCCCGCGTCAGCCGACATGATCGGCAAGTCCGCCGAACTCGGCGCGCCGAAACAAGACGACGCGACGGGCGGCGGCGGTTCCGATTTGACCTTGGCGGTAGCGGTCAAGGTCACCGCTGCGCCGTTAAGCATCGGCTGCTTAGCCGGCGCTGGTTCGTCTGCAGGGAAATACGTAATTAACCGAAACCGCACCTCGTTACTGGCAATTACTCGTTACCTTATGCTTACGACTTGAAATATGTAGGTATACCCGTAACCAAACTGCACATTGTTACTGACACGGTGCTGTTAAAATTTGCCGATGATGATCAACAGAATGGCTGCTATTACTAATGCATGCCTGCAGTCCGAAACCTGCTCCGCAATTATGAAAGATTTCGAAAAATTACGCGCTGTTCTATTGGTCAACTTAATTCGTTCAGAATATCAGACAGACAGACAGACAGTGCATACACTGACAGAGCATTCAAGAATTCTCTGACAGACTATTTTGAGAGATTACGTGCTGTTCTATTGGTCAACATAATTCCTTTAGAAACTCAGTTCCACACCGACATAGCATCACACCACATCTCATGTAAATCTGAAACGTTTAGACCACCTTACCTACTGGTTCCTCTAGCTTTCTTTTCACAGTCGTTTGTAATGTATGTTGTATTGATGGCTCCACCGCATCAAATGGCTTGTCCATCACCGGTTTCGTATCTATCACCGAAAGCACATGTATTCAGATATTTCTACTGATTTTCATGCACATTAACATTACAATTTCAGTTAGTCAATAACATCATGTTTCTAGAACAATCTCGTTCCAGATCTTACTGTATTTACATATACTTAGTGACCAAAATTATCTACTACTAGGAAAGTACCAACCGGTGTAACAACCAGGAAGGATTGAACTATTAGGCCATCCTTAAAAAATTCTATGTTTGCTGTCCCCCGACCAAGATTTTTTTAGTGGGTAGGTAGGTAGGTAGGTCTTTTTTGTGAGGCATAATAGTTATTTTAATTCTGTCCTCATGTTTGCCACACATGCTTTGTGTTTCAGTCTTAACTATGAGGAATGTAAAAAAAGGGGAAAAAATGGAACCCAAAATGTCAAAAAAACACTTTTGGGTCGCAGCTATTTTCGTGGGTCGGTCGGAGGACAGCAAACATAGAATTTTTTAAGGATGGCCTTACCTGTCTGAACTATTTCACGCACGAGGAAACTTCCATCTAGCAACTGTTCTCACAAACCCAATGTCCTAAAGGATCAACTTACACATGTTACTGGCCAGGTTGCATCGTGGAGGACTCATGCACCGATCGGGTTTCGATGGGTCGGGATTAACATCATTATCTTCCAAATCGCTGGATGGACCTTCTACAAGTCAAACGAATGCACAGACATGTTGTATTCACATACACACTCAGGTAAAGACATAATACATAGGCTTACCTCGTGCCAGAAAATGCAAATTTGCAATTTCATCGATCAGTGCATAAGAGAATCTATATTACCAACGCACGTAGCAAGCGCAGCACCACTCAAGCAAGAGGCTGTGGTGGGGGCGGGCTACGTGCGTAGGCTCAAGCAAGAGGCTGTGTGGTGCTGCGCTTGGGTGGGGGCGGGGGCCTACGCACGTAGCAAGCGCAGCACCACACAGCCTCTTGCTTGA